TGTAAATAGACAGAAGAAACATTCAATGAAAATATTAGATTTCTATGCTGTCTCTATACTTCAATTCTCTCTACAATCTCTTTAGTTTTATAACATGAATGAGGAAGAAAGGGATGATACAATGAATGATGAGGATATGAATAATTTCATGACTGAAGATTCTTAGAGGTGAGTCATCAATTTAGAGTGATACTACAATGAATGAGGAGGAAGAGAATACATTCATGATTAATTAAGGAATCTTAGGCTAGGTGAGTCATCAATTTAGAATAGGTGACTCACCACTTTCATAATTACAAATTTGGAAGCTTGAGGCAAGAGGGGAAGAATGGGATGAGGGTGGTTTGATGCCCTCCACGTTTCATTTTGTTTTGTTTTTTTTGTTTTTTTGGTTACCTACAAGGGTATTTTGGTAATCTTTCACACATAGGGGTATTTTGGTAATGTTTGTCCAACTTCAAATTAAACACACTTAATTTAATAATCTCAATCCAAAATCACTTGATAAAATACCCATAATCATTCTCCACCATAATATTATTTTCACTATAATATAAAAATCCACCTTGATTTTTTCGGGGTATTACAAGGAAAAGGAAGAAATAATAAAGGGGGAGAAGAAAAGATAGAGGAGAGAAGATAGAAGAAAAGAGCGGAAAAAAAAAAGAGGGAGAGAAGAGAGAAGGAAAAGAATGAAAAAAGAGAGATAGAGAGGAGAGAAGGAGAAGAATAAAAAAAAAGGAGAGAGGAGAGTGTAGGTAATATTTTTTGAACAAAAATTTGGGCTGGGAAAAAGAGGAGAGATGAGAGAGAAGAGTATGGGTAATATTTTTTTAACACAAATTTCGGTTGGGCATGAGCTCAGCCTGCCACAGGCTAGAACTGCCACTGCTTGAGAGCCTATGGTTCGGGGTGCCGATGGCCACATGGGTGGTGTACGCGGAGCAGCAATTAAATGCCTTTGAATTGGTGAGGGAGTTAGGTTTGGCAGTGGCAATTAAGATGGATTATAGGAGGGACACCCAAGTGGTGGTGAGTGCAGAGGAGATAGAGAGAGGGATAAGGGAGGTGATGGAGCATGATAGTGATGTAAGGAAGAGGGTGAAATAGATGAGTGAGAAGAGCAAAAAAGCCTTGATCAGATTTCCCTTTGATATATTAGGTAAGTCCTAGAAAAATAAGAAATTCCCATATCAATTGCTACTTTTTTGTTTGTGTGGCAAATCAATTGCTACTAGATTTCTATCATGAGTAGATGAATTTAATAAAGTTCTCAATTCTAATAAATCCAATTGCATGCTTGCTTTTTTTAATATGAGCATGCAGCCCCAAGAAGATTGTTCTAATTCCAATATATTGGTCGAACAGTAATATAGGTATTCTCAAAAGGAGATAAGCAGGAGGACAGGGAGTTGTTCAAATGGAAGATCAAACTAACCATCACAGTTTGAAAAATATAGGAAGTGATCTTAAGAACCGACTATTGAGAGCTTATCTACCAGAAATTGATCAAAACCCCCTTTCTTTACAATTAAAAATGAAAGATCTTTTTAAAGAAAATTGCCGCCCATTATTTAAAAGAATTACCCTACTCCAGACAACACCTACAAGGAGTGAACAGGGCAAGGACACAATCAATCCAACACTCAAGTCATCAATCAAATAAACAACTCAAAATCAATCAGAAGCTCACTTGAATTCCAAGTGAAAACCAGCTTTAGATCAGAATTCTCAAAGTTCAGACTTAGAAAATAAGTCATTGAAAACGAGATTTCTCTCGTTACAAATTTGGTTCAGCAAAAAACCAAGACATGTAGAGCTTGAGCTTTTCCCAAACATGAAAACCTCAACAAATTTTACAGTGTAGTCTCTAGCCCACTGAAGTTCTCGAGAACAGCCACTTCTGCCCTTACAGACTGAAGAAGCCGCAGTTTTGCCCATTTAGATGCCTCACAAAAGCTTGAAGTGTATTAAAGCTTTGCCAAAATTAACCTTTGGTATTGATCTGCAGCTGAAGTTATTAACAGTCCAGTCCAGTCCAGCCCAGATATTTCCAGTCCAGCCCGGATCAGAACCTCCTATCCAGGCAGAAATGGAGTTCCAGCTGTCCTTTCATCTTTCTAGCTTGGATATTTATGTTTATAGTTTTGTAAAAGGCAGTTTTGCCTAAGACAGCTTAAATTCCATCAACTATTCTGGCCAGAACAACCTCTTTATACTAAGATAAATTGTTAAAGTCATCACTAGTCTGAGGCAAGAAAAGAACTTATTTGAGAGATATTCCTCACCCAAATTCACAATCGCTTGTTTATGGAAATCAGTAACTTGGGGCGCAAGTTATCTATTCTAGAATAAGTCTGCTAGAATCTTCATTGCTAGCAGTGGCACACTCATACACCAAAGAAAGCTGACTTGCTGACCAGTCAATGGTTTTCAAGGCAGTGGGGAACTTTGCCCTTCCACCACAGGAGTGATCACAAAACAGGTGAATAATACTCCAGTAGTACTCTACTTTATTGAGATAGACTTTCATGCAACGGGTCGTTATAAGAAGGTTTTTTTGCTACTTTACTAGGACTTGTCAGGGGACACAAAGCAATTTGCTCTTTGGGTCGGTTTGTTTGCAAATTAGAGGTCAATTTTTTATTTTTGTTTATGTAGAGGTTTATCTTTGGCAATTTTAGTATATTGTAGTTTGCTACCTTTCTCAATGCAGCAGTAACCTTTTTCCTCTGTGTTAAATACTGTTTTGAATTAGAAAAAGAAAAATACCCCCTTCAAATTTGTCTTACCCCCTTCAAATTTAATTTGACTTACCTACAACCCTTCACTTTTGCTTCTATAAGTAATACCTTGTTTTTATCAACCAAAACCCATGACTAGGATCCAACTCATCAAATTACCTTATTAAGCTATATATTTGATTTATTATGATTTTTAAGTTCCCAAAATACCCTTATTTACAATTGAACGTGTAAGAGGCTGGTGTTCGAAGTTTTGGTCCCCTTATTTATTGTATTGATCATCTCCAGAATTTGTGTCTGCAATTAATTGTCCATTTTGATTATGGGGTTAATTTTCTTAGTCATACATTTTGATTATGGTTTTAGTTTGGAGATTGGTGTTCTAGTTAGGGTTCCTAAAGGTGGAAATTTGGTTGAGGGGTTTCTTCTGTTGCAGTTCAAGAAATTCCAGGTATTGGAATTCCATTTGAAAATTCCAAAGCATTCGACACTGACTAGCAAGTGTGAGTGATCTGCCGTCAAATAGCAGGTAAAAAACATCTTTCTCTTCTATGTACATGGGGCCCCGTTCATTGTTAGTCCTAACCAGAGCAAAACCAGAGCAAAATTGGGTATCTAGGTATTAGTTTACCTACACGCAAAAGATGGGTTTGATTTTTGGTTTTTTAAAACCTGGTTATGGACCTACATCATGCGAACTACAGCAAAACCAGAGCAAACTTGGGTATCTCGGTATTAGTTTACCTACACGAAAATAGATGGGTTTGATTTTTGCTGTTTTTAAACCTGGTTTGATTTTTGCTTTATTTGATAACCTGATAACAGGTTCTGTTTTACATCAGACTGTGTTTTTTAGAATCAATTTTTAAATTTTATACTTTTGTATAGTGATTGTTAGTTGTGACCTATCTGACATTACAAAAAATCAACATCAGCCTACCATGTAGGTAAATACTGATTATGTACCTACAGGTACCCTGCCCATTTTTAGGTCTCTCCCATGCTTCATAGTGTACCCGGGTTTGGTCAAACGGACAGTGCCACAAAGACAATTAATTATATATGATGGAAATAACCTTCAATCTGAGTGGAAAGAAACCAACATGTCAATCAAATAAGCATTCCAGTACCTTCTATAATAAACCACGGTGAAGACAAATGACAATGAGAAAATACATTTATGAAAGAATATGTTTTTCATTCATTAAAAAACAACAATTGGTTTCAGTTAAATTATGTTATGTTGCTTGATTATTAAGTAGAACCTTGTGATTAGATATAATTGTGTCTGAATAAGTTTGATTCATACTAATAAGAAATTGACGTCTAGCCACGTTAACTTACTAATCGGTTATCTCAAGGGTAATGTATGGTAAGTACCCTGCTCTGCTTAAAACGTCTACTCCAAAAAGAAGGATAACTTCCTCCTTTATCGCCTATGGTTGACAATAGTTTACAGACAAAACTAATGCCATCCACCAGGAACACCATAAAAAATGGATTCCAAATCGTGTAAACCCCCTTTTTTTAACTACACTTTTGGTAAGACCCCTGCAACAAGTACAATATCAGCAAATTCCAAGTAGGTGCAAAAAGTAGAATTGGATTAAATAATTAGTCTGAAGAAACATTGGTGCCTCAACAACATGATTTGCATCTGGAAAATGACATGCTAGTAGATACACTGTTCATCCACACAAAAAAACATATAATTCTTACAATGCTTGGTCAGAAAGCTTCTGAATCATAAACTAAAACAAAACGTAACAACATTTTTGTCCAACATGATATCGCATTCCAAAAATGTAACAAATGCCAACACACATGCATGTCCTAACCCCTGGGGAGTTTTAATGTCATGACATCATAATTGATAATCTTGTTCATCTGCAAAATATCATTCATCTTTCCAACTTTTTCCATCATGAAGAAATTTGTTGATAACTTTTGCACGATATTCCTTCATTGTGTTCTCTGTAAAACAAGGTGCCATGTTCTGACACTTCGAGATAGTTGAGATATAGTACATCACAATGACCCCACAGTTGACGCTGGAAAACCAAAAAAAAGAAAAAGAAAAAATAGTTTGATCAGGTGCATACAAAAAGAATCAGTTTTTTTTTCCTCATCCAGTTTTGATCACACCTGTTCTGTACCTACTTCGAATCCAGTTTGCCCAATTGAAATCTATAGTTTAAAGGAAATTAACCACATTACTTACGAGTCATTCATTTGTTGTGGGCAATTAGTCGATCGCTATAAAGGATAGTTAAGATCAGTAGCTTTCAGCCATTGAAACGTTTGTTTCTCACCATTGGTTAATGATGATTTGATTGCCTTTTCTCCAACCTTTTCAGGCTGTCTCATCCGATGACCATTGCTTAATACCACAGGTGCAATGCAACTATTAAACTGTAGGAAAGATGTAACTGCATCTCGCTGCAAAAATGACCATCCATCAGTTAACATTAAAAAATCAAAATGCCATAATATCATAATGGCAAACATTATATCTACATGCTCTGTAAATGTGACTAACTAGTTTCTGCGCATTAAGAAAGCATGGATCATTTGATGAATTTGACGCAAGATGTCTGGGGTCGTAATGAAACCATTGTTCATCTGCCTTGTGTAATACTAACAAGATAAAATGAAATTGGTTTTCATGCCTCATTGGGAAAAATACGTAGTCCGCTCCTGCTAAAGCTTCTAACAATGGGGTTGTGCAAGAATACTCTGATATTGTTATCATCACCCTTTTCTTGGAATTCCTAATGGATTGAACAATTTGACCAAATTGTTAAACACATGAACAAGAACAGTATCATTTAGTTATGCTTTATTTACCTACCATATCCAGTTTCATGTAGGTACACTAACATATCCAGTTTCATGTAGGTACACTAAAATATCCAGTTTCAATCAGTGTAGGTAAACTAAAATAATGAAGTTTCAATCACATGATTCCAACTAACAATCACTACACAAAAGTATAAAACTTAAAAATTGATTCTAAAAAAAAATTGGATCAAGTACAACAGAACCTGTTATCAGGTTATCAAAAGCAATATATAGAGTCAACTGTTATCAGTATACAAGATTTTCTCAAAAATTATATAGGTTTAAAAAAAAAATCCATCTATTTGGTGTAGGTAAACTACTACCCAGATACCTTGTTCGTGCAGGTAAACTAAAATACTCCAGAATTTCGTGTTGGTACATAACCATCACAACAAGAAAGGAGAAAAATCTACATGAAGAGATATAGAATGATAAATCTTAAATTTGAAAGTAATCATACTTGTTACGTAATGCTCATCCTAAACCCTTTTATGCAGGGCCTACTCTACTTGCATAGATTATGGAGCACCTCTAGAATTAATAACATCTCCGAGCACCTCTAGAATTAATAACATCTCCAAGTGTTATCAGCTGGCTAACAAGCTAGCTAGGATACCTGTAATCAAGTTTTGTTGGGTCATTCAGAAAAAGTGTTTTGGCTAATGCCCCTCCCTCCATCAAAGCAACTGGAGTCGGGTTCAGTCTAGGACTAACATCTCCTATAGCCCAGATTGAAGGAACTGATGTACGAGAAAATTCATCAACCTGAGAAATAAAACCCTCTCAAAAGCATTCAGAACTCTATATTAATTGCCCAGGTTTTTGTCATTTTACTATGAAAGCATCTAACAAAGAAAAGGAAAAAAAATCAATACCAGAATTTCGTGTAGGTACATAACCATCACAAGAGTATACAAGAGTATCTCAAAAAATGATACAAAAACAAAACCACACACGACTTTCATCAAACACGTTGTGCGCGCCAAAACCTAACAAACTAAGAGTGTGATCAATATGGCACAAATCACAAAACAATTTCACAAAAGGAGCAAAACTACATAACCAGATTCCCAATATGCTGTAGGTACATAAACAGGTTTTCAAAAAGCAAAAAACAAGACCAGAATTTCGTGTAGGTAAATAACCAGTCTTCCTCTGGTTTTGCTCTGGTTAGTACTAACAATCGATGGGGGCTCCATGTACGTGCAAGAGAGAGGCTTTTTTTTACTTGCTATTTGATGGCAGACCACTCACGTTTGCTAGTCGGTGTCGAATGCTCCGGAATCAAATGCTTCGGTCGTTCTCGTATTCTCTGTACAACTGGGCTGATGAATTTGATGGCAGAGCACCTCTTTCATCTTAGGTGGCATTACAATTTGAATTTGGGTTTTCAACGTAGTTATATAGATAGATGGGTTTGTGTCTAGGGGATATGAGTTGTACGGGCTTATATTGGAGTCTCTCAAAGAAAACTCCTCAATACATGTAATCCAAAGAATGTACAGGAGAATCAATCGTAAAATGTGGTAAACGTTTATGAAAAGTCTTGTGAAGTTGTGTGTTTGGTCTACAATTCCTAACATGTTTTTACTCATTAAATTCTGACCTCATCCTTTGTTGATAAGTCTTGTGAAGTTGTGTGGTCAATTATTTGAGGGCATGCTTGTAAGAGTATCAATGATGATGATATTGCCAAGTGTCAACAGATCAATGAGTAAGTTGTTAGAATGTGGTTAGAGTTGTTAGCAAAGTGAGTAGCCAGCTAAGACTGTAGTTAGGTTGATATAAAGATTGTAATGTGCTCAGTTAGAGCTTAACGAAATACAGAAACCTACAATTCCTTCTCTGAAATTCTCTCTGCTTCTACAATTTCTTTACTCTATTCTTCAATTTCTCTTCATCTTAACATGGTATCAAGAGCCATGGATCGATCCTGAGTTCTTTTGTTTCCGCTTTCTATGCCTTGACATTCTTTTTTGGACCTCCATGGAAATCGACGTCAATATCTGCTTCTTCCATATCATTCTTGGATTCTCAATTTTGTCCAACTGAATCCAAGTTTGGGTTTCTATTCAGCTTGATATTGGGGATTTTCATTCTCATATTTGATTTGAGTACATCTCAATAGGGTTTTGTCGCTGTTTTGGGAATTTCCAATGTTCTTGATCGATTGCTAGTCAATTTTGGGGCCTTTGTATGAGATTGTTGATTTCAAGATTTCGAATTGGGGATTTACAAATTCATATTTGCTTCGCGTAATTCTCCATTGATTTGCGATTGATTCGACTCGCTGACTTCAATTCCATGTCTACCTACGGAGGTTCTATTTCCTCAACTGTGGTAGATGTCAAATTATTAGTTGCATTCCTGCTATTTGGATCTTATGGATGTTCTTTTGGTATGTTTGTTGTTCATCCTCTATCTCTCTGATTTCACTAATTAGAGAAATACTATGTTCAAAGTCTGTTGTTCATCCTCTATCTCTCTTATTTCACTAAATAGAGAAATACTATGTTCAAATATTCAAGCTTTCTATCCACCTTTGATAGTTATTGTAGCTGCTCCCTAATCAAATATTGAATTCCTTGCTGTACAATCACCTTCCTGTTCTTGAATACATCACCATGGATCAAATATTGCTGGTTCATTTGGTAATTGCAGTGTCAATTTTCTAGCGCATCCAAAATCTCAGTACCCCTATTCTTGACTCTTAAATCCCACTTCTTTGGAGAACAAGAAAATCTTCAATCAATCAATACTTACCTGGTTCTATCACAATTCTCTTCTCAATCTTCTTATCTCATGGGACAAAGAATTTCCCATTTCTCCTTCTCTTTCTCCAATCTCTAAGGCAACAAAATAATTTCTCAGTTCTTCATCTTTTCTATCTCCTTTCTCCAATCTCTAAGGGTACAAAAGAATTTCCCAACTCTTCCTCTTTTCTACCTCCTTTCTACAATCTCTCTGATCTAGGAACAAAAGAATTTCCCAATTATTCTTTCTTTCTATCTCCTTTCTTTAATTTCTTTAAATTCTCAGGGAACAAAGAATTTCCCTCTTCTCTTATTCTATCTCTTTCTAAATGTGGGGATCTGACTACATAATTGATTTGACTTACTTATTGAGGATGCAATTATTTGGCAAATTTGGGATGCTTGATGGTTCATACAGGAAATTAGTTGGTAAATCTCATGGGCAAACAGTTAATAATTTGTGAGCAAACAGTCAATAAGTTGCGAAATTCGTTGACTGGAAGAGTTGATGGAGCATGTATTATGCCTCTGTTATTACTTGTTAATCAGTTGCCGACGTTTGATGGGGTGTATTTGAGTTGTCTATGGTTTCTATACTCTCTCTGGATCAGTGGAAGGGGTAATCGATCAGTCAGATGAAATAATTGCTCCTAGCAAGACTGTTATCTCTGGAAAAGACAAGTTTGCTAGGGACATTCCTTTGGTGACTCCAAAATTGCACTTTGATGGCATTTCGCATTTTGATCTCAACGTAATTCCAGATATACAAAACTGTGTGCTAGCCAGTGATAATCATTACAATGCCACGGTCCTGCTAGTAGTTTCTTCAACCATTGTTAGTTTCATTTTGGCATTGGCTAGTGGTTTTCAGTGGAAACTCAGACACATAGCTCAACCTCATGTTCTTCAATGTTCCAAATCCTTGTGCTCATGCAATTTGTTACTCAGTCATGCTTGCGTTTGCAGCATGTTTCCTCTGCCGAACAGTTTGAAGATATTCTTATGAACGGCCTCATTGCCTCTCTTTTTCCACATCACCGTTCCAATCTTATGCTTGGCTCCTCCAAGCATGAGATTGAGGGGGGATGTAGGAGTATCAATGATGATGATATTGCCAAGTGTCAACAGATCAATGAGTAAGCTGTTAGAATGTGGTTAGAGTTGTTAGCAAAGTGAGTAGCCAGCTAAGACTGTAGTTAGGTTGATATAAAGATTGTAATGTGCTCAGTTAGAGCTTAACGAAATACATAAACCTACAATTCCTTCTTTGCAATTCTCTCTAGTTCTACAGTTTCTTTACTCTATTCTTCAATTTCTCTTCATCTTAACAATGCCCACTCTTTACTGCCAAGTCCACGACTTGTCAGACGAAAACCAATTATGATAACTTTTGTTTTGGCTTGGTTTCCAAGTAAATAAGTTTATCAAATTTTCAAAGTCACAAGATTAATATAAAAGACAATCTTAGGAAAGTCCTAGAAAAATGAGAAATTCCTACTGTTTTTGTTTCTATCATGAGTAGATGAATTTAATAAAGTTTATTTCGGTTCACATTCAAGATCTTCAATATCTTGATCAATTATATAATAGAATCAGGGGCAGAGCCGAAACCATGATCTGCCTCCACTGGTAATGGTGAGAACTGGATGAGGAAAGGAAACCATGATCCGTACGCCTTTTAAAGTAACCATGATCTGTACGCCGATTTAAAGGAACCGACAAATTTGCACGTCGTACCTACTAAATTCTGACCTCATCCTGGTTGATAAGTCTTGTGAAGTTGCCCACTCTCTACTGCCAAGTCGACGACAACTAGTCAGACCAAAACCATTTATGATAACTTCTGTTTTGGCTAAACAAATGCCACAAGATTAATATAAACAAAATCTTGACTAAACAAATGCCAGCAAAGGCATGACGTCACCTAGCAAAAATGAAAACAAGTAATCAAAACAACGTTCGATACACCACTGTGAACATGCACATGAACATGAACATCATGTATATAAAGATGTTTCATGAGCTGAGTTTTTCATCAAATATTTATCATTTCTTCATCTCCCAAAATTAATCAAATAATGAAGAGACCAGCACAACTTGTGTTCATCCCAGCCCCAGGCGTTGGCCACATCGTGTCAACAGTCGAGATCGCAAAGCAACTGGTTGCTCGAGATGACCAGCTCTTCATCACCATCCTCATCATGAAGCTCCCCTTCGACAAGCTCTTCACCAATATAGACCCTTCAATCTCACACCGCATCAGCTTCGTCGACCTCCCGGAGTCCCACATCGACACACAGGGGCTTGGCTTCACCTCCATCATCAAAACATTCGTCCAAGGCCACAAAACCCATGTCAAAGACGCCGTCACAAAGTTACTCGCTCAGTCCGCTCAGGCCGAGCTTGCCGGGTTTGTCATCGACATGTTCTGCACCCCCATGATCAACGTGGCGAACGAATTCCAGATTCCTTCCTACCTCTTCTTCACCTCCAGCGCAGCGAGTCTAGGGTTCTGGTTCCACCTCCAGTCACTTCATGATGAGCAGGGGAAGGACGTTGATGAGATAACTGGGTGGGAATCTGAGTTGATGGTCCCGAGTTTCATCAACCCCGTGCCTGTTGGAGTCTGGCCGGGAGTGACGCGAACGAAGGAAGGCGCCACAGACTTCATCGATTTTGCAGCGAGGTTTAGACAAACCAAGGGTATTTTGATAAACACTTTCAGGGAGCTGGAACCACATGCTTTTCGTTCTCTTTCTGATGGTAAATTCCCACCGGTGTACCCTGTGGGGCCCTTGTTGAATATGAAGACTGATGATGGCCACGTTGGCTCGGACCAGTCCATACAGAAGTCTGATATCTTGGAGTGGCTTGATGATCAGCCTCCTTCCTCGGTGGTGTTCCTGTGCTTTGGGAGCATGGGAAGCTTTGATGAGGCGCAGGTGAAGGAGATAGCGTGTGCGCTGGAGCAAAGTCGGCACCGATTCTTGTGGTCCTTACGGCAGCCCGAGCCAGAGGGCAAGATGGTGATGCCGAGCGATTATGCGGATGTCAAGTTAGTCTTGCCTGAAGGGTTTCTTGATCGAACGGCTGGGATAGGGAAGATCATAGGATGGTCTCCACAGCTGGCCATTTTGGCCCACCCGGCGGTGGGAGGGTTTGTGTCCCATTGTGGGTGGAATTCTACGCTGGAGAGCCTTTGGTGTGGTGTGCCGATTGCGACGTGGCCATTGTACGCAGAACAACAACTAAATGCGTTTGGGCTGGTGAAGGAGTTGGGATTGGGTGTGGAAATTAAGATGGATTATAAGCAGGACAGTGAAGTGGTGAGTTCAGAGGAGATAGAGAGAGGGATAAGGCAAGTGATGTTGAAGGACAGTGATATAAGAGCGAGGGTGAAGGAAATTAGTGAGAAGAGCAAGAAGGCTTTGACGGATGGTGGTTCTTCATATTCTTCCTTGGGACGTTTTCTTGACCAGATTTGAGTTTAGATTCGTTAAAGCTCAAGATGATGCATAGAAACCACAGTTGTTAAATTTCATAGGAGATTTGATGAGCAAATATTTTCTCCGTTTGTTTTACATATCGTAGTTCCTAGTAAGGAAGTGTTTTCTGTTATGTGATTGGTCCCTTTTTAAAATCTGAGGATATTGTCAGCATGTGCGCTAGAGCACACTGGGCTCCGGTTCTTGTGGTCCCTACGCCAGCCCCCACCGAAGGGGATGATGGCTTTGCCAAGTGATTATGCGGACCCTAGTGGAGTCTTACCCGAAGGGTTTCTTGATCGAACGGCTAAGATTGGGAAGGTCATAGGGTGGGCCCCACAAGTGGACATTTTGGCCTACTCGTCAATCGGAGGGTTCGTATCCCATTGTGGATGGAATTCCATGTTGGAGAGCTTGTGGTACGGTGTCCCAGTGGCCACGTGGCCAATGTATGCGGAGCAACAAACAAACGCCTTTCAACTGATAAAAGAATACAAATTTATAAATAAATTCAATCTTAGACGTGTATTTATAAAAAAAACTCAAATACTATTTAAACATAGAAACACACCCAAAATCAACAATTGTATATTTTTTGGGTGTGTTTATCAATGGATTTTGAGTGTGTGTAATGATGGGTTTTGGGTGTGTTTATAAAGTGTTTTGAGTGTTTGGTTTTTTTATAATTTCAGCCCCCATTTTGGGTGTTTTAGTGAAACTCCCATAAAAGAATTGGGACTGGCTGTGGAGATCAAGATGGATTATAGGAAGGATAGTGAGGTGGTTGTGAGTGCACAAGACATAGAGAGAGGAATAAGACAAGTGATGGAGCATGATAGTGTTATAAGGAAGAGGGTGAAGGAAATGAGTGAAAACAGCAAAAAATCCCTGATGAATGGCGGATCCTCATACTCTTCATTGGGTCGTTTTATTGATCAAATTTAACACTTGATTCATCAAAGCTTAAAATCATTTGTAGTCGTACGATATAACACGTGAATTAGGAACATTGATGGCTATACAATAAATTCGTGCATGTAAACTTTAGTCTTTTTTATAATAACAAGGGGGAAATGAAATTCCAACAAAGGCTTTAATATCTCTAAGGTTAAGAAATTAAGAAGGGGTGAGGTCCAATAAATATGAAAGATGAACTGTAATCTCAGTTACATAGATACATACACAAGCCATATAATTTTGTCTTCACCATTTTTGTGAGGTTGAGTCTTTTTGAAGCTATATACTTCTTTTAATACAATGTTAAAATAGGTGAAGTTCAAGTAACCCTGCCATGACTCATGAACAAAAACTTCGATTAAAATTGATTTTTTTCATCGGTTCTCTTCTTAACAAAGTTATGAGCAAAAGTAAAGTAGATTCCAATTAAAATTTAAAACTGCAGTTGTTTTACGTAAAAGTCATTCAATACACTCCTAACATGTGACATGCTTCGTCCAATGGCTGGTCCCCTAATAATCAACATAGTAAGCGCCTACAACCACCCTCTCACCCTAGTAGGGAGGGTGGCTGAAGATCTTCCTAAGCTTGATTTTATGGAGATGTGTTCCCCTTCATCTCCTATAAATACCATTCACCTACATTTAGACAAAGATATTAACTCCTTCATGTCCAGAAAATCTACTCATTTACTCTCTTAAACATCATTTGTTCTCCCCCTAACTTAGGCATCAGAGAGGAATAATTGGCTGGTACTACACCACCAATGCCTCTTTGATAACTTGCTTTCTGTTGTGCAAAACACCTGGGCCAAAGAAGACAGCCCATCCATGCAATTCAACTTGATTCAAATTCGATCTTGGCCCAATCAAGGTCCTAGTTCACCACGGGATTCAACACAAGTCAACAGCAATGATATAAGAGATAGGGTGAAAAAAGTGAGTGTCAATAGCAAGAAAGCCTTGTGGGGGTGGTTCCTTGGGACGGTTTAATTATCAAATTTAACTAATTCTGATTTAGCAAAGCTCAAGATCATTTAAATGTTTGGCTTTTTAAAACAAGTTTTATAAAACTTAGTATAATAACAGGGAAAATATGAAATATTATATATATATATATATTCTCAAAATTATTGCTTTAATGTGTAAAGTTATAATTGAGAACCAAAATATTGATAATATTAACGAAATATCGATAGCAGTGTGACATAGGTGCATGACTGTTTTCTTTTTGTGTTTTTGATAAATTATTTTTGCATATGTATCAAATTATAATTCGCATGAATGAAAAGTATCTCTATACATGAAAAGAGGCAAGCAGTATCCTTAATTAACAAATAAAATAAAATGACTTGCCTTCTTAATTGTTTTGACTGAAAAAACTGACAAATTATGTGCACATATCGTTGACATACTCAATGCATTCTACTACGACTAGATAACCTTTTGTTTTGTCCTTCTTAAGTGGACTTAATAATGGACAATATCCAATATTTTTCGGATCACAAGATTTATATAACTCAAAATCTTGACTTCAGCTGAGGTTTTCATTGCATTCAACACAAAATGAGGAGCCTTGCGTTCATGCCAGCAAAGGCATGACGTCACCTAGCAAAAATGAAAAAGGGTAAAAGCAATGTTAGAAACACCACCGTGAACATGCACACGACATGCTATATATAAAGATGTTTCATGAACTGAGTTTTTCATCAACTATTTATTATTTCTTCATCTCCCAAACTTAATCAAATAATGAAGAGACCAGCACAACTTGTGTTCATCCCAACCCCAGGCGTTGGCCACATCGTGTCAACGGTCAAGATCGCAAAGCAACTCGTTGCTCAAGATGACCAGCTCTTCATCACCATCCTCATCATGAAGCTCCCCTTCGACAAGCTCTTCACCAATACAGACCCTTCGATCTCACGCCGCATCAGCTTTGTCAACCTCCCGGAGTCCCACATCGACACACAGGGCCTTGCCTTCCCCTCCTTCATCAAAACATTTGTCCAAGGCCAGAGAACCCATGTCAAAGACGCCGTCACAAAGTTACTCGCTAAGTCCGCTCAGGCCGAGCTTGCCGGGTTTGTCATCGACATGTTCTGCACCCCCATGATCAACGTGGCGAACGAATTCCAGATTCCTTCCTACCTCTTCTTCACCTCCAGCGCAGCGAGTCTAGGGTTCTGGTTCCACCTCCAGTCACTTCATGATAAGCAGGGGAAGGACATTTCTGAGATAATTGGGTGGGATTCTGAGTTGATCGTCCCGAGTTTCATCAACCCCGTGCCTGCTGGAGTCTGGCCGGGAATGATGCGGGAGAAAGAAACCGCCACAGACTTCATCGATTTTGCAGCGAGGTTTATACAAACCAAGGGTATTTTGATAAACACTTTCAGGGAGCTGGAACCACATGCTTTTCGTTCTCTTTCTGATGTTAAATTCCCACCGGTGTACCCTGTGGGGCCCCTGTTGAATCTGAAGAGTGATGATGGCCACGTTGGCTCGGGCCAGTCCATTCAGAAGTCTGATATCTTGGAGTGGCTTGATGATCAGCCTCCTTCCTCGGTGCTGTTCCTGTGCTTTGGGAGCATGGGAAGCTTTGGTGAGGCGCAGGTGAAGGAGATAGCGTGTGCGCTGGAGCAAAGCGGGCAGCGGTTCTTGTGGTCCCTACGGAAGCCCGAGCCAAAAGGCAAGATGGGGATGCCGAGCGATTATGCGGATGTCAAGGGAGTCTTGCCTGAAGGGTTTCTTGATCGAACGGCTGGGATAGGGAAGGTCATAGGATGGGCTCCACAAGTGGCCATTTTGGCCCACCCGGGAGTCGGAGGGTTTGTGTCCCATTGTGGGTGGAATTCTACCCTGGAGAGCATATGTTGTGGTGTGCCGATTGCAACGTGGCCAATGTACGCAGAACAACAACTAAATGCGTTTGGGCTGGTGAAGGAGTTGGGATTGGGTGTGGAAATTAAGATGGATTATAAGCAGGACAGTGAAGTGGTGGTGAGTGCAGAGGATATAGAGAGAGGGATAAGGCAAGTGATGGAGAAGGACAGTGATATAAGAGCGAGGGTGAAGGAAATTAGTGAAAAGAGCAAGAAGGCTTTGACGGATGGTGGTTCTTCATATTCTTCCTTGGGACGTTTTCTTGACCAGATTTAAATTTAGATTCGTTAAAGCTCAAGATGATGCATTGAAACCACAGTTGTTAATTTTCAGAGGAGATTTGATGAGCATATATTTTCTCCATTTGTTTTCTGTTATGTGATTGGTCCCTAATAAGGAAATTATTGAAAAGAGCAGACATATCGTAGTTCATAATAAGGAAGTGTTTTCTGTTATGTGATTGGTCCCTTTTTAAAATCTGAGGATATTGTCCCAAAAGCCAAACTCTATTTATAGGAAATGAAAACGATGGATATGCCGATATCTTAAGACAAGTGTAAAAGTTTGACCTCTCTTCCTTTTTTGACAAGTATAAACTCAAGATCATTTAAATGTTTGGCTTTTTTAAACAAGTTTTATAAAACTTAGTATTATAACAGGGGAAATATGAAATATATATATTCTCAAAATTATTGCTTTAATATGTATAAAGTTATAATCAAGGATCAAAATATTGATAATATTGATGAAATATCGTCGATATTATCGTCTTTTCAGGTCTAGAATATTTTTGAACATATTCATACACATATCGTATAATTATCAACAATATCGACGATAATATTAAGAAATATTGATGTCGATAATTTCTCACCCGCTTCAACAACATTTTGTCAAATATATCGTGATGCAATGGACAAAAAGGGAAAAAAAAAAAAAAAAAAAAAAAAAAAAAAAAAAAAAAAAAAAACCCCCCAGCACACACACAAAAGGGGGAATTGAACCCCTTCCATTCCACTCCTCCAGCACCTTAACCATCATGTTGCTTCAACGTCAACCAATCTCAAATCTATATGGGTGGATTTTATTCAATTTTCGTGGTTTTTATTCAATTTTTACCGATACTGATAATTTCTCAATATTTCCATCAAAATTTCTGTGTTTTTGAACCACTGATATTTCCGAAATAATCGATATTTTTAGACCTTGGTTATAAGCAACTAGCTATTGAGCGGGAGTATACTTCTTTTTACAATAAACATAAGGTATGAAGAACAAAGGTTCGGCCGAGTTGGCAACATATTGTATCAATTATATATATAGATAAAATAACATGAAATATGAGCCATTCAAGATATAATTTTGATTTCGTCATTTTTGTGAGGGCGATTATATATGCCTCTTGTAGAACAATGTTAAAATAGGTGAAGTCACTCACCTTATCATGAACATAAACTCCTTACAATGTAAGTAGGAGCTTTTACATTCATGTCAATAGCAGCGTGACATATGTGCATGAGTGTTTTCTTTTTGTGTTTTTTATAAATTATTTTTACATATTGTTGAAGAATACACAAGTCTCACATCGGAAACTTAACAAAATAGAAAGTCTCATATAGTAAATGGTTCTACTCCTAATAACATCGAGGTCTTTCGTATAAAACCTCACACCTGCTAAACAAGTGGTTAAGTTGAGGACAATATTGATGTTGTTAGTGGTGGGTTAAGAGTTCGTTCCTCTAAAATCTTAACACATATGTGTCAAATTGTAATTTGCATGAAGATATCTCCTTACATAAAAAGAGGCCAGCAGTATCCTTAATTAACAAATAAAATAAAATGACTTGCCTTCTTAATTGTTTTGACTGAAAAAACTGACAAATAATGTGCAATATGATTGACATATTCAATGCATTCTACTACGACTAGTTGGACCAAAATCAATTTTGATAACCTTTTTTTTTGTCCTTTTTGTTTTGGATTTCCGAGTCTATTACCCAGTGGACTTAATAATGGACAACACCCAATATTTTTCGGATCACAAGATTTATATAACTCAAAATCTTGACTTCACAGACAATCCCACGTACAAGCCTAGCCATTGGCCTGGATAATTAAATTCCAAAAATAAACAATAACAATGTGCAAAAAGTACCACTGCCAGCCATGCACATGACATGTGATGTGTAAAATTATATACACATATACTAAGTTTTATAAGCTGAGGTTTTCATTGCATTCAACGCAAAATGAGGAGACTTGTGTTCATCCCAGGCCCGGGCATCGGGCACCTCGTATCAACGGTTGAGATCGCAAAGCAACTCGCCGCTAGAGATCACCAGCTCTTCATCACAGTTCTCATCATGAAGCTCCCCTTCGACCAACTCTTCACCAACACAGACGCTTCCATCTCACGACGCATCAACTTCATTAACCTCCCCGAAGCCCACGTTGACACACGAAACACCGGCCCCTCTTCGTTCTTCAAAACCTTCGTCGAAAATCACAAAACTCACGTTAGAGCAGCTGTCTCCGAGTCAAGTACTCAGTCCGAGTCGAACCAGGCTCGGCTGGTCGGGCTGGTTGTTGACATGTTCTGCACCACTATGATTGATGTGGCCGATGAATTTGGGGTTCCTTCCTACGTGTTCTTCACCTCCAACGCCGGGTGTCTCGCGTTCTTGCTCCACCTCCAAACGCTTCGAGACGAGCATGGCACGGACGCGGCTCAGTTGATGGACTCGGAGGCTGAGTTGGCCATCCCGAGTTTCGTCAACTCTTTGCCTGCCCATGTCTTGCCCGGTGTGTTATTGGACAAGGAGGGTGCCACAGCATTTCTGAATCATGCAAAGAGGTTTAGAGAAACCAAGGGTATTTTAGTAAATACATTCTCAGAGCTGGAATCACGTGCGCTTCACTCTCTTTCTGATGGTAAAACCCCACCTGTGTACCCGGTGGGACCTCTGTTGAATCTTGAGAGTGATGATTTCCACGTGGGTACGGACAAGGCTAGACAAAAGTACGATATTTTAAGGTGGCTTGATGATCAGCCTTCCTTGTCTGTGGTGTTCCTGTGTTTTGGGAGCATGGGAAGCTTTGGTGAGGCCCAGGTGAGAGAGATGGCGTGTGCATTGGAGTACGGTGGGTTTCGGTTCTTGTGGTCCCTACGAAAGCCCCCGCCAAAGGGCGAGATTGCCATGCCAAGTGACTATGCGGTTCCCAAGGGAGTCTTGCCGGAAGGGTTTCTGGATCGAACGGCTAGGATTGGGAAAGTCATAGGGTGGGCCCCACAAGAGGCTATACTGGCCCACCCAGCAATCGGAGGGTTTGTATCGCATTGCGGGTGGAACTCCGTGCTGGAGAGTCTGTGGTACGGCGTGCCAATTGCCACGTGGCCAATGTACTCGGAGCAACAATTAAATACTTTTGAGCTGGTGAAGGAATTGGGATTGGCAGTGGAAATTAAGATGGATTATAGGAAGGGAAGTGAAGTGGTGGTGAGTGCAGAGGAGATAGGGAGAGGGATAACGAAAGTGATGGAGAAGGACAGTGATATAAGAGAGAGGGTGAAGGAGATGAGTATAAAGAGCAAGAAAGCCTTAGTGGATGGTGGTTCCTCTCACTCTTCATTGGGGTGTTTTATTGATCAAATTCAACTTTGATTTATTTCATTTCTGGCTCTATCCTCTATGTAACCACTTTTATCGAGCACTTATTTTAGTGATATTTTTCTACAATAAACATTTGTTTTTCCAGGAAAAAAGAATTTAAATCATTGTTGAACTTTATTTTTTGAGAAGGAAAAAAAAAGGACTTCTTATATATTAAGTTGTAACTTGTAAAGAAATTACACCATCAATAGATTAAGATACCGGCTGATGCTGCATTGACCGGTATTTTATAATCTCTATGTCCCTTGTTGATATGCTTGCAGCCGACTTTATGAACCCAAAAATACAGAACAAGGCTTCAAGCTGGGGCCAATATATCTTTTCCTCTAGAGCTGGTTGCATGTCTATGATATCCAAATGAGCTTAAACTAGGCATCTAGGAAGCTCAGAATAATTATTTCTTCTATTTTTTGCCATTTGCTTGCTTCTTTTTCTGAAGATTTTTGTGTTGGTAAACCGGGAAGTCAGGAATCGGAAGCGCAGAAAAGATATGCAGATGATCCTAAATCTGAAGAAGTACACAAAATTTGAAGTTTGAGAGAGAGAAGATTTGAAGGGGGTGATACTTAATTACCACTCTATATAGGAGGGATATTGGCAATCATGAAAAGTTTGTGTGGGAGTTTGTTGTACTTACCACCTAGTTTTGGGAGGGCGAACTTGTGATGAAGGCCAAGATGATGGTCACAAAAGAAAAAGAGAGTGATCCATTAACTTTGGAAAGCAGAGAGACACAATGCAGTGAAATCCAATGAATTCATTTTAAATTATTTGGTTATAAGTTATTTCCTAGCTAGTAGTACCATGAATGTTTTCTGCATTAATTTATTAATAGGATTCCATGTACATATAATATTTGAATAACTTGCTTTTCCTTATTTGAAGTAAAAATCCATTTCTTGATACTATTCTTATCTTGCTGGTGGTGCTCAATGAGTGATTGCAGTTTTATTGCTGCTTTTCGTCCCTCAGTTACGCTGCTTGTTTCTTTGGCTTTGATGCTAAATGATCCCAAACTGAAAAGGAAACCAATCTGTCTGACAAAAAGCAGAGAGACACAATGCAGGGTTAAGAGCCAAAGAACTTACAACCCAAAAACACTTCTCAGACACCCTTAGCAAAACAAGGCAAACAGATACTCCAAACAAGCCTTACAAGACTCTCAAGCTTGCAAGAATATAGACCTGAAATGATACACTATTGGGAGGAAATTTCTATATCAGTATCAAAAGCAAGGTCAAGGACCATCTCAATCCTGCATGTCAATTCCGCTTAGATTTTTGTAATGGTAAGATTACATTTGATTACTGTTGATGGAAAAGAGAGCACAACATTTAATTAAGTGGGAACAGATGGTCCAATCACTGAGATGTGGGGCCCCAGGTGTCAAAGGCTGGACACTTTGGAACCTTCGCTTTCTACTTGAGTGGGCCTTCTCGAAGACTATTATATTAATGGGTCAATGGTGGTAGACTATATGAAATATATAATCTATATAATAAATCAAAACTCACACCAAATCTAATTACGCTGGTAAATTAGAGTAGCTTAGAACATCGCTCGATTGTAAGAATGATTCATGAGTCAGAGAGATTGTGATGGGAAGAGAGGAGGTAGGTGAAGCCGAAAGATAAAAGTAAGCAAGTTAAACAAATAGTGTTGCTAACTGCTAACTAGTAACTGCTAAGTAAAGAAAAGAAACATCTCAGAATCTGAGATGGCCAGGATTCTTCAAGAAAGAAATAACAAAAAGAGGGGTGAATAATTACCTTCATAAACTTTGAAAAGTTTTTGTTATCTTGTTTACTTGAGAAAAGTTACAGCAGTTGTTTCTCGTAAAATTCATTATTTTCGACGTTAAGTTGACGATATCATCCAAGAAGTGTTGCAAACCTTTGCTGTCAAAACTTAATACTAAGGAAGCTATGTGAAGAAAGCCAGGAGCAAAGCAATGTAAATCATGATTACTTCTTGTCCAATTTAAAATATCCCAATTGCCAGACACTGCAGAATACAGCAATCTTCTTTGTTTTTTTGTAATGATTATACCTTATTGTAGTCAAATCCAAAGAATTGATTTTAATTTATTTGGCTAATGCCATGACTATTAATAGGATTCCATTTCCCACTTTCAACATTTACTAATAGGATTCCATTCCATGTACGTATAATATTTCAATACATTGCAGCTGTGCTTAACCTTTTTGTTTGTTTGACAATTCATGTTTGCTTTCCTTATCATTGACAATCCATTTCTTGATGCTATTCTTTTCTTGCTGGTGGTGCTCCATGAGTGGTTGAAATTTCATTGCAAGTGATATTTGCATCAAAACAGATATTTGTATCTGCAGTGTAAATCTCTTTTCAGGTGGACCAAGTCAACTGCAACTGCAGAAAAACACAATGCAGGGCTAAAAGCCTACATGTCAGTTCAGCATACAATTTTTTCGTGTTCCTTTTTGTTAAATTTCTGGTGACTTTTTCCGTCACTTTGGGAGGGAAGACACTTCCTCTAGGTCTATGAATTTCTCTATCAATTCCATTACCTTATCCCAAACTACAATCTTGTGGGCCCTTGACATTGCGAAAGGAATCAACTAGACTACTGGTTCGGATTGAATGTTTGACTCTCTGGCAAAAAAACAAACACTTCTCCTCTATTGAATTGTAAAGAAACTACACCATCAACTTAATGCTTTTTTTTAAACACAGAATTCTGAGATTTAAACTACATAATTTGATGCTAATTATGGAGAGAAAAAACACAGAACTTGAGAAAAAAACAACCTAGCAAATGGCACAAAGAAAAAGAACAAAAAATTATCAATATCCTAGACTGCTTAGTTTAAGCCCATTTGGCTAGCAGAGACATAAAACCAGCTCCAAGAAGAAGAGCTATATTAGCCCCAGCTTGAAGTTTTCCATTGCTCTGCAATTTTGGGTTCATAAAATCAGCTGCTAGCAGATCAACAAGGGACATATAGATTAAGATACCGGCTGATGCTGCGTTGAAAACGCCTTCAACGATGAGGGCAGTTGGGCTGTTTTCTTTATAAACGTTTGAAATTCCGATACCAATTGCAATTCCAACAGGAGTTGTAAGAGAGAAGAACAGAGCCATGATTGCAACTCCTCGAGCCTTGAATTTCGCCTACAAAAAGTAAGAAAAACAAAAAATCCTCTCAGCATCTTCCAGAGTTTAATTGAACTTATAGATTAGTCAAGTATGCAAAGCAATTACCTGAGATATGCATCCACCAAGTCCCATGCCTTCGAAAAACTGATGGAAGGTCAAGGCAGCTACAAGAGGCCTTATGGTGTCAGGACTTTCAGAAGCACCTAAAGAAATTCCAATAATGACAGAATGCACAATAATCCCCAACTCCAAAACCTGCAACATGTTCAAAACTAATCAATCAATATTCCCCACTAATTACTAAACATAAACCAACATAAATAACAAATCAAAAACCAACACTCTCTGCTAAGCAAAAGAAAATTAAAAGTACCTGTGAAATCACTCTGTGCCTAAGAAGTTGTGTTGTAGGTGAAGTGTCAACTGCACCATGAGCATGACCATGAGTTGCATGAGTATGAACATGCACGTGACCCTCATGCTCTCCAGCCTTCTCCTGGTCACCGCAGCTCTCCGCAGGCTGAGCCTTATTGTTCTTGAAGTGAGACCTGCTGTAGTAAGAAGTGGCAGAGGCATCCACCATCAAAGTCCCAATGGCAGCAACCATGGCCACAAACCCAGTGAAGGGGAACTTCCCCCATGGATTCTCCTTAAGGCACGGCGATGTCAAGTTATCAAAAGCATCCGGAAGCACGTGTATGAATCCGGTAGCCAATATGACACCGGCTGCAAAGGCCTTGATGAGGAAGAAGATATTCCTGTCGGGGTGCAAAGCCGGGATGGTCTTCCCAAGAATCGGAATGCAAACACCGATTGCACTGGCAACTAGTATCGATGCAATCGCGGCGAGTTTGTACTTGAGGGCTTCGGTTTTGTTCCGGTCCCCATCTTCTTCTTCGTCACATGTGCACTCTCCGAAAACTAAAGTTGGAAGTATAAGGAGGAGGCATAAGAATGCCAAGAAACTATGTTGTCTTAGTTTGTTCATCCTAAAAATCTGAACAGGTATGCAGAATCTGAAGAAAAGTACTCAAAATCAATCAAAATAAGTGATCACAAGAGAGAGAAGAAGAGGAGTGAGAGAATGAGAGAAGGTTTGAAGGGGTGGTGCCAATTTATATAGGATAGTGTAGGGTATTTTGTGTCATTGACTTCAAAGGAAAGATTTAAAATTTTTAAAAAGGGTTAAGAAAATAATGAGGTCATGAACTAAACAAAACAATAATCTTAAAACTCCGAAATCATGTATATGCAGGAATTAGGGGATGCATTAGAGATAATGGTGAAGAAATAATGAGGACATTTGATGGAGGACTTTGTCTTGGACAAGAAATTGATTCTCTCTTTAGAGAGGGATTGAAACAACCAACCATGAAAATGAGTTGGTTCGGAAAAACCCATGTATTAATTTCGAATGTTGTAAGAATGTCGAAACCGGATGTGTAGGAGGGAGTATCACAAGATAAAATGACACATGACAAATTTTAAATGGGAGTATCACAGCTGACATGGTGATACAGTCGTATTTTATAATTCCTTGTAGGAGGGGGAGGAGGAGAAGCCATCCCATCACAAACTCTAATTCTTTTTTTTTCTTTTCCTTAATTAATAATTACTTACCTCTCTAGAACCATATCATTAATTTGAATCAATATTCTTTTTGAAGCATTCACTTGAATTAATAGTATTCATTTAGATAATTAATTAGAATAATATGGAATAGGGCAGTTCACCTAACACAAGAAAATGGGAGCATTTTTGCTCACCACCGAGAAATTATAGAGTGATACGGTATCACCATGTCAGCTAGTGATACTCCCACTCAAAATCTGTCATCTGTCTTTTTGAAAAGAAAATTAAATTTTTTTCACTGTTGGACTTTGTCTTCCAACTTTACCCTAAATAAAATTAAATTAAATTTGAAAAAACAGGAAAAAGAAAACAAGAAGACTGTAGCAGTTTCCCCTATCAGCAATCTGCCTACCTTGCACTGCCGCCCCTTGGCTGCAATCCCCCTCCAATAATATCAACATCAAACATACCCTTCTTTCACTAGTGGGTTGTCGTCATGGGAGATTTTGAAGATTTTTGTTTTATGTTTAATGGGTTTGCACTAATTTTCAAGATTTCTGAGTTTTCTAAATACTTTTAAATTTTTACTAAGAATGGGAGGCACGGAAAGCCCAGGTGGGTGGCGAGGGAGGAGGGAAGATGACTAGGTGGCGAGGGAGATGCAAAGACGGCTAGGTGGCGTGATAGCACAAGGAAGACAGAGGAGAGGGGTTAGGGTATTAATGTTGAAGGGTAAACTTGTAAGACAAAGTCCAGGTGTAAATTATTTTTTTCTTTTCAAAAAGGACACGTGTCAGATTTTGAGTGGAAATATCACCAGCTGACGTGGTAATACCATATCACTCTATAATTTCTCCTCACCACCGATCTTAACAATTGACACTTGTCCTTGAAACTAACTATAGTTAACACTTTATTTTTAATTCTTTTAAATTATTTCAAATCAAAAATAAAGTAATAATAATAATAAAATAACATTTAAAACAAAAAAAACAAAAACTCTCTCTCTCTCTCTCTCTCTCTCTCTCCGTTCCCGACCAGCCCACCTTAAGACCTATTCTCTATCACTACCACCAACCCCTCAGCAACCCTAGCCACCATGCCCCTCCAGCAACCCCTCCCCCACCTCGTTCACCCTCTCCACCATTGCTTAGAGATCCACCAGCGGCTTCATCCTCCAGTCCGTCATCAAAGCCTGGATCGTACTCAACAAACCCAACCCTCTCTGCAAGTTGCGAAAATACATGTTGTCGAATTTGGCCGGACTCATGATGTCGTTGAAGGTCGACACTGCGCAGAGCTTCTTCGACCCCTGCGCGAAATTGGGATTGGTCGGGTCGATGTCGTAGGACTTGCTGAAATTGAAGATATGGTTGCTGAACTCCATAAATTGTTATCAAAATACAAATTGTCTGCAACCCTTCCGAAGATTCAGCAAATCAATTACAAACATAAAAGAAAATGATATTTTGAAGATTCAGCATTTTGTGGTAGAGCACATGTTCCAAATTGGCAGTGGAATTCCTCTTCTTTATATTGGCAGCAACTTTAAGCCCATCGCCCCCAAAACAAAATATTAACTTAAAAAAACAAACCAATCTATTCGAAATACAACTAAGTTTTGAAATGAGAGAACCCCTTTTCTTCTGGGCCTGTTGTTTTTGGTGTTGGGGTGGCAGTGGCTGTGGTTTCTATGACTGTCGACGAGGTGGTGGGGCTGGTCGGAAAGGGGAAGAGAGAAGGACATAAAGTTTTTGTTTTTGTTTTTTAATGTTATTTTATTTTTTAATTTGAAATACTTTAAAAGAATTAAAAACAAAGTGTTAACTATAGTTATTTTTAAGAACATGTGTCAAGTGTTAAAATAGGTGGTGAGAATACACAGTTTTTGAACAGAATTCATCTCACAGTTTTTGAACAGAATTCATCCCATTTAATAAATTATCTAGCTAGGGTCATTTCGGCATTAGTCTTTGCCGTAAGGATAGGTCGTCAATCGTGCACGTATAAGTTGGCAATTTCTAACTGAAGGAAATTGGCAATAGGGTTTGTAGTCTAACTCCTTATAGTCTCTTGCAAGGTTTTCTAACTTTCTAATGTGAGAGTTTTTACTTTCACATTCTTACATGCCCCCATGTGTGTGATAAATTTTCAAACCTAACATGTGGACAACACATTTTAGGTGACGTAAAGCACATGTGGCCATTGAACTTTCACACGTAAACTAACCCGCTCTAATACCATGAAGAAACAAATAACATAAAATAGCAACACACAATTACAGAGAATTATAGTGGTTCGGCTGTGATGCCTACATCCACTTTGAATGAAATTGTCTTATTCATCATAGTATTATCACAGCAAGACAGCACTTTAGAGCTTTATAGATGGGTACAACACAAAGCAAGAATAAACAATTTATAAAATGGGAGATTCACTATTATACCCAATATAGAGGCCCAAATTATAAAAATACCCCATATGAAATAGACTTTATAAACACACCCAAAACCTATTTATAACATAACAAATAAGCTTTTAATTTCTTATAAATTACAAAACTGCCATCAATTTCTTAAAACAAGCTCAACCCCAAAATCTCATAAAAATACCCAAAACACTCAATAGGCATCAAAGTAATTTAATATTCAATATTAAATTCAATAAGGCCAGCTGTCATTTTTTAGGTTTTTTTTGGGTTTGTTTATAGAAATTTAATGGTGTATGGTTTATTTATAATATTAGTACTAAGAATGGGTATTTCACTAAATATCTCTTATAAAATTCTCAAGATAGGCAAGCAATTGAAACATGCACACAAGCATGCTCCACCACTCAAGCATACTCTCTTTTTTTTTCCTTGGGTCTGAACTCAAGCATGCTCGATCACCACATAGTTATCCACACAATGGATAATATAATAATGCAGTATTCCAACACTAACCATTAATCAAATGTTAGTTCCACAATGATTTAAGGTCGGAAATAGCATAAACTCTTGTTCTATTTTTGGATGAGGAACAAAACGACAAGAAACAACTACAGAATAAGGCCCCGATTCACACCGAGACCATAAAGATGTAACTGGAGAGCAGTTGATCATTAAAGAGATCAAGGAAGAGCTTGACAACGTTATATTCAGAGAGAGAGGTGAGAGAATCAAATCATAGATTAATAGTGGGGCAACAGATTCTTCAATGGACTGTCTTCTTCATGGATGGACTTGGCTGTATCAACTTTAGACTTATTATCACAAAATATCCCTAAGGTTTACGAAACTATCATATTGCATTTTTAATATTTTATTTGTGTCATTCGTGGTCCTCAAGGTTAGTATGCATGATCACAAATAGTCCCTGCCGTTAGGTTCCGCAAAAAAACTCTGTTAGTTTGTTGACGTGGCATATATGTATATCACAAAACATCCCTGAGGTTCACGCACCTATCACAAATGGTCCTTACGAAATTTTAAAAAATTTAAAATTTAAAATTCATAAAAATTTTGTTTTGTTTTTAAAAATTTATGAATTTTAAATTATTTTAATATAGATATATTATATTTTAAATACCTGTGTCACTATATTATTGTATATGTGGGCTCCATATATATGCAACATCAACAAACTAATGGAGTTTTAAAAAAATAATTTAAAATTCATAAAATTTTAAAATGAAAAAACTAAGAGTTTAGGGTTCATAAATGGTCCTCAAGATTAAAATCCTTCCATAAATGGTTTTTTCATTTATAAATAATTTTAAAAAGAAAACCAACATTTAATGAATTTTAAATTTAAAAATAAAAAAAATCGTAGGGACCATTTGTGATAGGTGTGTGAACCTCATGGATGTTTTGTGATATATATGTATCCCACATCAGCAAACTAATGGAGTTTTTAACCGAACCTAACGGTATGGACCATTTGTGATTGCACATACTAACCTTGAGGACCATGGATGACACAAAAAAAGATTAAGAACGTAATCTGATAGTTTCGTAAACCTTAAGGACGTTTTGTGATAATAAGCCTTAACTTTATACTGAGCAAGGTTTGGATAAGCTACCAAATTAACTTGGGCTGTCCTTATCAGAAACAAAAATAGGTTTTAGATTATGCAGTGTAACCATATATAGGTACTTGAAGATGAAAGAAAGTGGATGGCTAGCCTGGCCATGCATGTGAGTTCTTATTGGAAGTGTTATAATGCACTGAATTGACTACAAAGTTCAAACGTTCTGCCAATGAAATCCAACACATTTTTTAAGCTATAAAGGCCATCTCCAATCCAACCATGAGGCCAAACCCGAATAATTCCAAATTATAGCCCAATTCTTCTCCCAATCCGAGAAAAGTAAGGAGACGAAATTGAGAAAACTCAAACTTTGGGTCAAATACCAGTCCAACTATTGCCTTGATTGAAGAAAAAAAATTTGGTGGAGCCCACTCAAGGCTGATGTGGCCCTTGTGCAAGGAGGAATCAATGGGCGCCAAGTGTCGCGCTCTGTTGCTGCAAAAACTATCATGCGCTGGTGTCTTGCCTTTTTTTGTTTTGTTTTTGTTTTATTCCAACAATAACCCAAATCCAACGATCCACATTAAATCCAGGCTATTTTAACTATAGAAAAAATATCCACCAACTGAAATTGATATCCAAGGGTCAAAATAATATTTTAAATTAGGATTAACTGTCAATCTAGCCCTTGAACTTGTACATTACTTTCAATTTGCACCCTGACCTTTTTTATTTTTTTGGAAATTAAGGATACGAATTATTTTTTATCACCAATTCCCCTCATACCATCTAAATCAACTTTTTGACATCCAATAGTCTGTCAATTTGTCACTATTCAAAGGATAGTTTCTTCTCTCCACCCTAATAACTCCACTTAGCCTCTTTCGCAATCACACAAGTCGTCGATTTAAAAAGAAATAAGAAAAACAAAAGTCACTGAATGGTCAATTCGCATGACTATTAGTAAAGTAGGGTTTGTTTTGAGGAAGAGGAGCTTCGACTATACAGCACTGAATAGATGATTTGAAGACTGAGGGTTTCAAATCAGTGAGATGCTTGAATATGGGCTTTGTGGATTCGACGAAATATGGCTCCGATTATGCATAATAGTGGTCGTCCTCCAAAGTACAGTAAGTCTTCTTTTTTTCTCTTTTTGAATCATTGTGGTCCAGTGGTGTAGGTAAAATAGTGTTTCTTATCTCCCTTTTGTAAAGTAGTTTGGCTGAGATTCTTCATTTTTGGTTTAGGTGATATTCCTTTGTGAAAAGGAAATATATATGTGGTCCCAAGGGTAGTGCATGTGATTTGTCTGTGCTTGATCTGTAACTTTTGGTTTTGTCTGATGTTAGCAAGTTTTTGTTACGTCAAAAGTAAATGTATAAGTTGTTGGTGACATTAAGTGTTGTTTATATATATATATATATATTTTATTTCTGCCTTTGTAGCTGATCCAGATAACTTCACTATGGAGATTCACCATGGAGGGAATTTTTAGAAGGGAAAATATTTGGGAGGTAGGGTACAATGGATAGATAACTATATTGGGGATCATTTTTCAATGTTGGACATGTATGACATTGCTACATCACTCGGATACAACCAGTTAAGAACGTGTTTTCACTATAGGAGCACAACAAAGACTTTTCTTCCACTAGAAACATATGGCCATGTACTTGAGTTTGTGCAACAAATTCCATCATCTAGGGTTCATAATTTGTACCTTTCGCCACTACTACAAAAATTGAAATAGATGACGGGGAAAACCGTCTTTAAATAAACCGTCGTTAAATCGACCGTCATATTTTGAATGTCAAACTACGACGGTTATTCACCATCGTCTATTAACAGTAAAGACGATGGTTTTATTCTAAACCATTGTCTATTTACTATAAAGATAATGATTTTTTTTCTCAAAGAACCGTCGTCTATTAACTGTAAAGACAATGATTTTTTATGAAAGAATCGTTGTCTATTAACTGTAAAGACAATGGATTTTCTGAAAAAACGATCTTCTATTAACTCTAAAAACGACAGTTTGTAAAAAAAATATTCGTCTATTAATTCTAAAGACGACGGTATTTTTGAAAAAACCGTCGTATATCAATTGTAAAATTGGACGTAGTGATTTAACATTTCGCTTCTTTTTTTTTCTTTTTTCTTTTTTTTTCCAATGGTTCTCTATAACGATTTTAACTGAAAAAAAACAACCATAATGCTTTCTCTCTCAACGGGTAGATGAGAGTTCTCCACCCCTACGCCTTTGCTAGGGTTTTCCCCTAGAGTTAATTATAGGCTTTTGCATACCAAATTACTTTCTCTTTCTCTATTCTTTTGTGAAGATGAGATGGAGGAAGTCATTACTTCTTTTGACAAAATTCTCCTCCTCACTAAAGAAGAAACAAAAGCTGTGCCAATAGGAGAAGCAGATGAAGATGATGTCCATGAAAGGTTCAAAACTGCTTTGGTGGGCAAGATGTTAACAATCGAGCCTTTCAACCGTGAAGCCTTCAAACAGACTATATGATGAAGATTTGGAACACTTCTAGGGAAGTCAGAGCAAAAGATTTAGGGGAAAACCTCTTCTTGTTCATCTTTGCAACGGAGTTAGATCGTAAACGAGTACTTCGCAACGGTCCGTGGAATTTTGATAAAGCTTTGGTGCTTCTGGAAAAGCCGAATGGTAATATTGTGCCATCAAGTATGCTTTTGAAGTTTGCTAAGTTATGGGTCCAAATTCATAATGTCCCATGCTCGGCATGACGGTGCAAATAGGGAGACCAATTGGAAATTGTATGGGTGAGTGCATAGATGTGACTCAAGGACAAGAGGGAGAATGTATGGGTCGGTTTCTACGGGTGCCTGTTAAGTTGGATATTACCAAACCACTTAAACGGGGGACAAAGATATCTCTTCCCTCAGGACAACAGGAGTGGGTTGATTTTCGCTATGAGCGCCTACCGGATTTATGTTACAATTGCAAGCGAATGGGTCATATTATGGGTGATTTCACGTTTGTGGATGAAGTAGTCAAAAGTGCAAAAGATAAACCTTATGGCTCCTTCTTAAGGGTGATTCACGATTTTGTGAAACCTTGGTCAACAAGCCCTAAGCGAGCACGTAATTAAAGTAGGAAACTCCAAAACTTCAATTCAAAGAGACGCACAAAGTGGAGGTTCAATCGAGAATGAAGAAATAGGCCAGAAGGCAATTGAAACGCCGCATAGCACTTGGAGAATCTCTTCACTTAATGACGGAGGAGCATGAGTACTATTCCGGAAAGGGAACCAAGATGGCAAAGCCTTTTACTGCAAAGGTGAGTAAGCACAAAGAAGATGAGGAATTGCATCGGCGCAAAAGATTGGAGGCTTGGGAAGCCGCCCAAAACGGTGGACGACGGAGCGACGGCAAACATCATGGTGGGGATAAGCCAATTAGCCACAAAACACTAGGGTTGACGTGGCAATTGATTCACTGGCCAAGTGTAATAAAGTGAAGGGGAAGGAAAAGGCGGGCAGCAATTACAATGATTTAGGGAATATTTTTATTACACCCATTATGGCTGGAGTAAAAGCAAAAGATCTCAACATTTCTCCTCATGATGAGCACAATAAAAAGCTTCCCAAATCTCAATGCCTAATATCAATTTGAGTGTGGTATGTTTCAAAGAACCACTGGGAGGACAATCAGGGGAAGACATTCAAGGAATAGTAAATGCAGGGGAAAAAGTTTCTATGGCAGAGGAAGTTGGGCATGGGCAACCTTTGGGCTTCTTTGAAGGTGGAGGAAAAATTTCTGACAAAAGCATCACTTACAAGGTTGGCCCAATTTCTTTACAAAATCCTGAAGTGGTAAGCAATGAACCACATAATGAAGGGTCTGAGCTGTCAATGAATATGGACATTATTCCTCTCAAAACTCTAGTGCAAGGAGGAAAATGGAAAAAGAAAGCAAGGGGTACTGAGCATGGAGTGAATACAGAAAAAACTAATATGGTGTTGGGGACCAAGTATAAAACAAGCGAGGATGAGATGGAAACAACGAGTGGAAGCAAGAAAGGAAGAACTTATGTTTCAGAAAACATGACGAAAGTCAATACCATTGTGGGATCAGGGAGCTGGCCCACCATGAGTAATGATTGTTTTAAGTTGAAATGTTCGAGGGCTTGGGAACCCTAGAACATTCCGTGCTCTCAAACTCCTTTTAAAAGAGAAATTCCCCAACGTGGTTTTTCTCATGGAAACCCATGTGATAGAGACGCAAATGGAAAGGGTGAAACATCATCTTGGGATGAATATGGCTTTTGTAGTGGAACAGGTCGGGATGGGTGGAGGCTTGATGATGTTGTGCAAACATGGATGGAGAATGAATTTGCTATCGTCTTCAGTAGGACATATCGATGTTATTATTCATTCGCCAAATGGGGATGCTTTTCATGTCACAGGTTTTTATGGTCATTTTGAAGTCCACAATAGAAAACATTCTTGGGAGTTGCTACGAAGACTGCACCACGGAGTTAATGGACCATGGTTGGTATTGGGTGATTTCTATGAAGTTCTAGCAGCGGAAGAACAAAGGGGTTATAGGGAGAGACCAATTGGACAAATGACACAATTCAAAAATGCCATAAGTGACTACTCTTTAATTTCTTTTCCTTTTAAAGGCTACCCCTTCACATGGGCAGGGAGAAGAAATGAAAGTATCATGACAGAGGTTCGTTTGGATAGAGGTTTGGCTAATGCAGATCTACTTAACCAATTTCCTGATTTGCTGATCCAACATCTAGACACTGTGGGATCTAATTACAAACCTATCCTTCTTAATGTATCCACTAATTTGCCTCAGCAACAAGGAAGGAAGAACGCACTCAGATTCCAGTTTGAACAAATGTGGGTCCAAGAGGCTAGTTGTAAAGAGGTGGTTAATGAGGCATGAAAGGATACAAGGGGACTCAGTAGTTATGTTACGATTAGTGTTGCTCATTATGCTGACTCTTTGACCACATGGAACCACCAATACTTTAGTAATATTCAAAAGAAACTACGAATTGCCCATGCTGAATTACGTAAACTGCAGAATGGGAAGTATGAACAAGTGTAGGTGTCTCGCATACGAGAAGTCGAGAGATAAATAAACAACTTACTGGAGGTAGAGGAGACAATGTGGCAACAACGTTCTCGAGTCACTTGGCTTAAAAAAGGTGACCAAAATACTAGATTCTTCCACGAGAAGGCTAATCCAGGGGGCGAAATAATACCATTCAAGGGCTCTTTGATGAGAGTAATGTGTGACGGTCAGATAGTGATAATATTGGGTCCATGTTTTGCAACTATTTTAATGGTCTCTTCACTCAAACAGGTGGTCAAAATATGGAACGGGTTCTGGCAACTATAACTCCTTGTGTTACAACGAATATGAACAAAATCCTTCTACGTCCTTTTAATCGTTTGGAGTTGGAGCAAGCCCTTGGTCAGATGTATCCAACCAAGGCCCCTGGAATTGACGGGATGCCTGCCTTATTTTATCAACACTACTGGCATATAGTGGGTGATTCAGTCAGTGATGCATGTCGCATTTTAAATGGGGAAGGTAGTGTGCGAGATTTTAATCACACCTTAATTGCTTTGATCCCGAAAATAACCCAACCTACTCGAGTCACCGATTTTCGGCCCATAAGTTTGTGTACAGTCCTTTACAAGATGGTTGTTAAGTCTTTTGCTAATCGATTAAAGATGATTTTACCGGAGGTAATTTATGAGTCATAGAGTGCTTTTGTTCCGGGAAGACATATTATTGATAATGTCATGTCTGCTTTTGAGGTGGTTCACCATATGAAAGAGCCATGAAGTGGGAACGGTGCTAAAATGGCTCTAAAATTGGATATGGCAAAAGCATATGACAGAGTGGAATGGTGTTTTGTGGAGGCAATGATGCAATGTTTAGGTTTTGCGGAAAGCTGGATAACTCGTATCATGGATTGTATTACTACAGTCTCTTTCTCGGTGCTATGGCAAGGAAATCCTCTTGGACATATTGTCCCGCATTGAGGCATTAGACAAGGATGCCCTTTATCCCCGTATCTCTTTTTAATTTGTGCAGAGGGATTTACAGGTCTCATTCAACAAGCTAAGCAATTGGGACGTATCAGAGGAGGGAAAGTGGCAGCTGAAGCCCCAGTAGTGTCTCATCTTTTCTTTGCCGATGACTCCCTGATTTTCCTAGAGGCCAAAAGGGAAGTGTTTGAAGAGGTTAAAGGAATTTTTGCTACCTACAAAAAAGCTTCGGGCCAGAAGATAAATCTTGACAAATCTGCAGTGTCTTTTAGCTCAAATGTAACAGCGGAAATTATTAATGCAGCAAGGAACATACTGCAAGTGCCTGTTGTGGCTTGCCACGAGCGATACCTTGGGCTGCCAACGGTGGTTGGGAGGAATCGGCGTTCTTTATTTCTTACAATTCAGGAGCGGGTTAAGCGGAAGGTTCAAGGTTGGAAGGAAAAAAATTTATCTAATGCTAGCTAGGAAATTCTAATTAAGTCTGTGGCTCAAGCTATCCCTACCTATTCCATGAGGTGCTTTAAAATGCCTAAGTCTGTCGTCAAAGAGCTTCATTCCATATTTGCAAAGTATTGGTGGGGAAAGAGTAATAGGGAGCAAGGAATTCACTGGAGAATGTGGGAATTTTTATGTTGCTCAAGCTTGGCGGATTGGGCTTTCGAAACATTGAAGATTTTAACCAAGCTCTCTTAGCTAAACAAGTCGGGAGGGTCTTTATGAATCCGAATGTCGAGGTGTATCCTTCTTTCGTATGGAAATCCTTGTTGTGGGGTAGAGAATTATTAATGGCAGGACTACGTTGGCACGTTGGTAATGGACTACTAATTTCTATTTATGATGACAAATGGGTGCCACTACCTCATCTCTGTAGAATCACCACTCCTCCACGATTGCCCCTAAACACCCGAGTTTGTGATTTGATCAATGATTCAGGACATTGGGATCGTGAGCTTGTTAATGCTAGTTTCTGGAAACATGAAGCAGATGCAGTGCTCAGTATACCAATGGAATATGTATTATGGAATGAGGACAGGTTGGTCTGGCATTATGAGAAAAAAGGTTGCTACATAGTACGAAGTGGATATTGGCTTGCTTGTGCAATTTGAGATCGTGAAGATGAAGAGGTGGGTGCGTCTAGCAGCAACTTTGAGAACATTTGGTTGAGGTTATGGCGGATGCAAGTGGCTACTAAAGTCAAAGTATTTCTATGGAGATGTATGCATGAGATTTTACCATGTCGAGCAAATCTTTCTTTGAAGCGAGTAGTATCTAACCCTATTTGCTTTAAGTGTTACCAAGCACCGGAAACGGTACTACATGCTTTATGGGACTGTCCTGCAACTCGTGAGGTATGGCACTTTTCAGCTCTTCAAGATTCATGTACCTCAGAATATCATGGATGCTTTCTCAATTTATTCCGCTATATCTTGACTGTATTGACTGATAAGGAACTTAGACACTTTGGGTATATTTGTTGGAATGTGTGGAATGGAAGAAATGCTCAATTGTTTCAAGGCTGTAAGCCCAATGCTTTCCAAAGTTACCAACACATGTAGGAGATGGCAGAAGAATTCTTTCATGCGAATTGCACGTCTTTATGCTCGACTCAAGAAGGAAGTAACCTGGTGGTGAATTGGGAGAGGCCTCCTGCTCAGTTTTTTAAAATGAATGTGGACGGGGCTCTAAAGACAGATGATAGTGTTAGAGGGCTGGGAGTTGTTATTAGAGATGACCGTGGAGAGTTGATTGCAGCAGCAGCCAAACCAGTGTGTGGCATGTTTACGTCCAATGTTACTGAATTATTCGCAATCAGATTTGACCTACAACTTGCAATGGACTTGGGGTTGAAACATATATACCTAGAGTCAGATGCACAAGCAGCAATACGGATGGCTTTCCAATGTGATGCAGATTTGGGCTACGAAGGAATCTTAGTAAATGAAATTCATGTTTTGGATAATTCATTTCATAGTTGTTTTGGTAAGTTTCGACCTTGTACTTGTGATCGCGTGGCTCATAGCCTTGCATGGTTTGCACTTTCTATTTCGGACCTTATAGTTTGGATGGAAGATGGACATGAATGATTGTCTCTCATTCTCACTAATGATGTTATGCTTAATCTCTTAATGCAATGTTATAAAAAAAAAAAACAATAAATTCAGGTCCAAATCTGCTATTATCCACACCACACAAATATATACTAAAAAATTGTTTCTTTTATAAAACTTGAAGATTTAATAGTAATTACATAGTTTACCAATCTTGATTCCTACTATATTCATACAAAATACAATATCCATAGCATTAAACTATAATTAGAAATAGAGGAGCTACATGTGATTGCTCATAAATGCTGCCCATTCGATCCGAATTTCATCAATTTGTTCTTATGTGTATGAGTTAGCGCTGCCTTCTTGCACTGCAAAACCAAAATTAAAATAATAAAATAATAAAAAATAATAAAAAAAGAAGAAGCAAGTTTTAGTAAGAGATATATTTCTAATCTTTTATGCCCTTTCCTTTTGCAAGAGGAAACAAGAAACAAAAAGACAGAAGAGGGGAGCATAACTTATCTGGATTTCCATATTGAAACTGCAAATGTTCAAACAAATAATAATCACTAATTTGAGGAACTGAAAATTGAGTGATAAAACTAAGAAAGAAGTAATATTTACAACTATAACAGCAGCATCGTCCAGAAAATACAAGAAATCACCTTCAAGATCAAGCTGCAAACAAACTTAAGGTCAAGATGCAACTTAACTACCAATCCATTGAAAAACATAAGAAAAATTCCATTCTCTTAATGCTTTTCTTATTATAGTTATGTGAATGTGCCTACTACAGTGTGTTGTGCTATTATAATCCAAATAAACTTAGTGGCACGAATTGTACCCTAATCTCTCTTTCATCTCAGTTCATACTAAATACAATGTATGCCTCCAGTGTTCATAAAACCAAACTCAGTACTCAACACAAGCATCAAAATTCAAAACCTATTTTTGCTATGAAAAAATAAATACCCATTCAGTTACGTTAACAGTAACCAAAATCATCCATACGACACCAATCTCAAAACCACATCAGATGACCCAAAATAAAATCACTCATCATCTATATTCTTGGAAAAGTCGAAAGCTGTTCCAAAACAAAAATTGACAGGAAAACAAATTGAAAGCCAAAAACTTGGAAGTACAAAATTAGAAACTTAACCTGGAGAAGCACAGGTTATTTCACTAGTCTTATTGTTATTGTCCACTTCCTCCCACTTTTTCTCGTGGAATCTTGAGGCAGCAACAACAACACTAGTGAAATTCACGAAGGCATAGCCCAGATTGACTATCCTCATGCGGTACCAAAATAGCATGTAAGAAAACTATTTAAATATAAAATGTTTTGGATCCAGAAAATGGCACAAAGTAACAATAAGGTTTTGAAAAAAAATTAAATCTCTCTTTTTTTTTTTTTTTTTTTTTTTTTTTTTTTTTTGAAAAAAGCTTTCATTCAAAGCGAAAGAAAGACAACAAAGGGGAGAAAAAAAAACTTTACTCACCGTCTATAGGCAGATACCCCACAATATTATGGTTTAGATTTTAGATACCAAAAGAATTGACACATTAATTGATGAATTCTAATAGAAAAATTGAAACATTAATTCATGGAAAACTTAACTAGGACAAGCAATCGAAAACAACAATCTCTCTTTCATCTGAGTTCATACTTCATCTCAAGCCTATCAAGAAATCACCACCAAAACAGAAACCAAATTAATATAAACAAAAAACCAAAACAGAATGGAGACAGAAACCAAAACAGAGAAAACCCAATATCTCATTCAATAACATGTCAATATATTATTCAATATCACAGATCACTTAATCAGAAACCAAGTTAAAGTTTTACCTGTCTTGTAGGCCTCCCTTACTGCAGTTGGCTGCACCTTTATAGCCTACAGAACTTAGCAGCCATATCACTTTAACCCAACCCAACCAAAAAAAAAAAAAAAAAAAAAAAAAAAAAAAAAGAAAAAAAAAATTAGGCTGAAAGAATGACACTGGTACCTCACTATCCCAATCGAATATGAAATCAAATATAAAAATCCAACACCGCAGATAAATATAGAAATTAAAACAGCAAATCAAAATCACAATAGCATAAACAAAGGGCTTATTTATTGTAGTGTCCCTTGAAACTATAGTCAAATCTCACTTTACTCCCTAAAAGTTAAAATGACCCACTTTGCCCCCTGACCAGTGTTTTGCTTTTCAATTTACCCCTCACTGTCAAGTCAGTCAATAACTCTGTTAAAGTTGCCAACGTGGCATGAATGGGACCCAAAATTTTGCTGAAATGCATACCACTTAATTGCCATGTGTGCCAAAAAAAAATATTTTAAAGATTTTCCACAGCACCACCACCCTAAAATATAAAATTATAGCTCATAAAAAAATAATAATAAAATTACAAAAAAACAAAAAAATTAAAATTAAAATTAAAATGAAGCAGCCACTGTCTTCTCCACACCCCGCCACCCCTACCATCATCGCCACTAACAGATCTCCCCCACCCCACCCTTAGATTAAGATACCAGCTGATGCTGCATTGACCGGTATCTTATAAACTGTATGTCCCTTGTTGATATGCTTGCAGCTGAGTTTATGAACCTAAAAATACAGAACAATGAAGATGGGGGCCAATATATCTATTCCTTTAGAGCTGGTTGCATGTCTATGATAGCCAAATGGGCTTAAACTAGGCATCTAGTAAGCTCAGAATAAGTATTTCTTTTCTTTTTCACCCTTTGCTTGTTTCTTTTTCTGAAGTTTTGTTTTAGTAAACTGGGAAGTCAGGAATCGGAAGCGCAGAAAAGATATGCAGATGATCCTAGCTAGTAGTACCATGACTGTTGTCCACAAACTTCACCATAAATCTTGACATTCCCACTTTCTGCATTAATTTATTAATAAGATTCCATGTAAATATAATATCTTAATAATATTGATATTACATTTCCTTATTTTAAATATAAAAAAATCCATTTCTTGATACTATTCTTATCTTGCTGGTGGTGCTCAATTGAGTGATTGAATTTTTATTGCTGCCTTTTGTCCCTCTGTTATGCTTGCTTGCTTGCTTCTTTGGCTTTGATGCTAAATGATCCCAAACTGAAAGGAAACCAATCTGCCTGACAAAAGCAGAGAAACACAATGCAAGGTTAAGAGCCAAAGAACTTACAACCCAAAAGCACTTCTCAGACACCTCTAGCGAAACAAAACAAACAGATACTCCAAACATGCCTTATAAGACTCTCAAGCTTGCAAGAATATAGACCTGAAATGATACACTATTGGGAGAAAATTTCTATATCAGTATCAAACGCAAGGTGTTTAAGAGTCAGCAATGTCAAGGACCATCTCAATCCTGCATGTCAATTCAGCTTAGATTTTTGTAATGGTTAGAAATAGATGAGATTCATAGAACAAATCTATTTATTTTATTACTGTAAGCTATTGTAAAATTACATTTGATTACTGTTGATGGAAAAGAGAGCCCAATATTTAATTAAGTGGGAACAGATGGTCCAATCACTGAGATTTGGGGACCGAAGTATCAAAGGCTGCTGGAAACTTTGGAACCTTTGCTTTGTTCTTGAGTGGGCCTTCTTGAAGACTATTATATTAATGGGCCAATGGTTGTAGACTATATGAAATATATAATCTATATAATAAATCAAAACTCACATCAAATTTGATTGCCCCGGTAAAGTAGAGTAGTTTAGAATATCGCCCGGTTGTAAGAATGATTCATGAGTCAGAGAGATTGTGATGGGAAGAGAGGAGATAGGTGAAGCCGAAAGATCGATGTAAGCAAGTTAAAGAAACAGTGTTGCTAACTGCTAACTGCTAAGTAAAGAAAATCGACATCTCAAAATCTGAGATGGCCAGGATTCTTCAAAAAAGAAATAGCAAACAGAGTGATAAATCACCTTCATAAACTTGGAAAAGTTTTTGTTATCTTGTTTTTACTCAAGAAAAGTTACAGCAGTTATTTCTTGTAAAATTCATTATTTTCGACATTAAGTTGACGATATCATCCAAGAAGTGTTGCAAACCTTTGCTGCAAAAACTTAATACTAAGAAAGCTATGTGAAGAAAGCCAGGAGCAAAGCAAATGTAATTTACTTCTGATCTGCTGAATTGTGATTCTTACCTCATTGCATGTATAAGCTATGTGAAGAAAGCCAGGAGCAAAGCAATGTAAATGTCTACTTCTTGTCCAATTTAAAATATCCTAATTGCCAGACACTGCAGAATACAGCAATCTTCTCTTCTTTTTTTAATGATTATATCTTATTGTAGTCAAATCCAAAGAATTGATTTTAATTTATTTGGTTCTAAGTTCCTAGCTAATGCCATGACTATTATTAACATCACATATATTCACCACAAATCTTGACATTCCCACTTTCAACATTTATTTAGGATTCCATTCCATGTACATATAATATTTCAATACATTGCTACTGTGCTCAACCTTTTTGTTTGTTTGACAATTCATGTTGTGTTGCTTTCCTTATTTTTCCATTTCTTGATACCATTCTTCTTGCTGGTTGTGCTCAATGAGTGATTGAAATTTCATTGCAAATTATGCTGCATGTTTGGCTTTGATGCCAAATGATATACTAACAACTAGGTGCACCTTTGTATCAAAACAGATATTTGTATCTGCCCGAAAAAGCCTAAAAAATTGTCACCAGTATATGTAAATCTCTTTTCAGCTGGACCAAAGTCAACTGCAACAGCAGAAAAACACAATGTAGGGCTAAAAGCCTAACAACTTACAACCCAAAAACACTTCTTAGACACCTTCAACAAACAAAACAAACAAACAGATACACCTTGACCAATATATGTAAATATCTTTTTATATCACCATAAAATAAAAATAAAAATAAAAAGCAAGGTGTTTAAGAGTCAGCAATGATAATGATGATGATAATCTTGGAGTTTTGAAACTGGAAGTATTGGTTTGGCCAAGAACCATCTCAATCCTACATGTCAGTTCAGCATAGAATTTCTTTTGCGTTCCTTTTTGTTACAATGGACTTGGATTTCTCATGGATTTTCAATCGCTCATTACAAATTTCTAGTGACTTTTTCCATCACTTTGGAAAAAAGGGGGGGGCACACTTCCTCTCAATTTTCCAATTACAATCTTGTGGACCTTTGACATTGATGCAAATGCATGGGAAAGGAATCAACTAGACTAATGGTTCAGATTGAATGTTTGACTCTTCAGCAAAAAAAACAAACACTTCTCTATTGAATTGTAAAGAAACTACACCATCAACTTAATGCTTTTTTTAACACAGAATTCTGAGATTTAAACTACATAATTTGATGCTAATTATGGAGAAATAAAACACAGAACTTGAGAAAAAACAACCTAGCAAATGGCACAAGAAAAAGAACAAAAAATTATCAATATCCTAGACTGCTTAGTTTAAGCCCATTTGGCTAGCAGAGACATACAACCAGCTCCAAGAAGAAGAGCTATATTAGCCCCAGCTTGAAGTCTTCCATTGCTCTGCATTTTTGGGTTCATAAAATCAGCTGCTAGCAGATCAACAAGGGACATATAGATTAAGATACCGGCTGATGCTGCGTTGAAAACGCCTTCAACGATGAGGGCAGTTGGGCTGTTTTCTTTATAAACGTTTGAAATTCCGATACCAATTGCAATTCCAACAGGAGTTGTAAGAGAGAAGAACAGAGCCATGATTGCAACTCCTCGAGCCTTGAATTTCGCCTACAAAAAGTAAGAAAAACAAAAAATCCTCTCAGCATCTTCCAGAGTTTAATTGAACTTATAGATTAGTCAAGTATGCAAAGCAATTACCTGAGATATGCATCCACCAAGTCCCATGCCTTCGAAAAACTGATGGAAGGTCAAGGCAGCTACAAGAGGCCTTATGGTGTCAGGACTTTCAGAAGCACCTAAAGAAATTCCAATAATGACAGAATGCACAATAATACCCAATTCCAAAACCTGCAACAAGAAGATTAAAACTAATCAATCAATATTCCCAACTAATTACTAAACATAAACCAAAATAAATAACAAATCAAATAAAAATTTGATGTACCTGTGAAATCACTCTGTGCCTAAGAAGTTGTGTTGAAGGTGAGGTGTCAACTGAACCATGAGAATGACCATGAGTTGCATGAGTATGAACATGCAAGTGATCCTCATGCTCTCCAGCCTTCTCCTCATCGCCGGCGCTCTCCTCAGGCTGCGCCCTATTGTTCTTGAAGTGAGACCTGCTGTAATAAGAAGTGGCAGAGGCATCCACCATCAAGGTCCCAA